CAATGAGATACCATCTCACACCGTTAGAATGGCGATCATTAAAAAAGTCAGGACAACAGTGTGCTGGAGAGGATGTGGAGAAATAGGAACACTACACTGTTGGTGGGATTGTAAACTAGTTCAACCATTGTGGAAGACAGTGTGACGATTCCTCAAGGATCTAGAACTAGAAATACCATTTGACCCAGTCATCCCATTACTGGGTATATACCCAAAGGACTATAAATCATGCTGCTATAAAGACACATGTACACGTATGTTTATTGCAGTGCTATTCACAATAGCAAAGACTTGGAACCAACCCAAACATCCATCAATGATAGACTGGATTAAGAAAATGTGGCACCTATACACCATGGAATACTATGCAGCCATAAAAAAGGATGAGTTCATGTCCTTTGTAGGGACAAGGATTCAGCTGGAAAACATCATTCATAGGAAACTATGACAACAACAGAAAATCAAACACTGCATGTTCTCACTCAAAGGTGGGAATTGAACAATGAGAACACTTCAACACAGAAAGTGGAACATCACACACTGGGGCCTGTTGTGGGGTGGGGGGAGGGGTGAGGGATATCATTAGGAGATATATCTAATGTAATTGACAAGTTAATGGGTGCAGCACACCAACATGACACATGTATATATATGTAACCAACCTGCACGTTGTGCACACGTACTCTAGAATATGAAGTATAATAATAATTTAAAAAAATTAGACCAGCGTCATGGTAGGCGCCTGTAGTCCCTGCTACTTGGGAGGCTGAGGCAGGAGAATGATTGGAACCCGGGAGATGGAGCTTGCAGTAAGCAGAGATCGTGCCACTGCACTCCAGCCTGGGCAACAGAGCGAGACTCCGTCTCAAAAAATAAATAAATAAAAAAATAAAAAGTCTTATACTAAGGCATTGTGATACTTTGTCTCACTGAGTCAACAATTGCTCATTTCTAAAAAAAACAAAGCAAAGTTTAGTTGATTTCAGAGATCCCTTCTGTCTACAAATTATCTGTAATTCTTTCTTTCTATAAACTGAAAGATCTAGGCAGGAGCCTCAACTCAGTAGGAGAGAGAAGGAACCGAGCTGGGACACCTAGCTCTGAAGGAATGAAATGATTATACTAAAGAGAGCAACTGAGCTTATTTTACCCAAAATAAGGTAGTATATTTCTGTTAGAGTTTAGGGTTACATGAGTCAGGGACAAAGTTATTGCTTTTCTTTGTCCTGTATAAAGGGATCTCCAAGGCCTTTGACTTACCCAAGAACTAAAGGTTATAAAACCAAACTCTTCTGACCTCTCAATCTGGTCAACTGGGGCTGCAATTATTGATGAAATTAATGTTTATTTTGAAAATCATTTACTAGACTGAATCACAAAATACTGAATCATTGTACGCAATCAGTAAATATTGGTGGACTCAATTAAACTCAATGTTTTGCTTGAAATGAAACCTTCAAGATGCAGGGCTTATGGGTTCTAGTCCCATAAGACATGGAACATGGTGCTGGCTAAGGTAGACACCATGTTCCTGGCTAAGGTACTGAATCTTCAAGGCTCAGCTTCCTCATTCCTGAAATGGGTCAATTTTATTGTAAGCAAAGGTAATTGAGAGATTCCAAAGGGACATGAGGCATAACCATTCCCTGTAAATTGTTAGAATCCATGTTAAAAATGACCAGTAAAACATGGTGCAACTGTGTCTTAACATAACTTTATTTTTCTCAATAAAAGAAATGGAAATAAACCCACTAGGGAATTTAGCACAAATATGATGATATAGTTAAAGAAAATGGCTTTGCACAAGTATTGTCATTAGTGATCTAGTAAAGTGTATCTTTCTAGTTGTATTTAGACCCTCAACTCAATATGTCAGCTCCTGTTAAGGTCTATACATTGTGGTGGTTCTGTACTGTGGATCCATTCAGTGATTTTCCTACCTCTCATCCTCTGTTGCATCCACAGCTGTGGTTCTGTCCATAATTTCCTTTGCTTGCTGTGCATTATTACATTATTTCTGAAAGTGAGAGACCAAAAACAATAGAAAGCAGCCAGGTCTGGAGGTGACTGGGGGATAGAAAAGCCCAAGTTTCTCAAACCCTTAGCACCAAATTATTTCCTCAGTTACACAGAGCTTTTCACCTCTGCAGTGATGGAGAAGGGAGAACTCTTATTTCTTTTCATGAGCACCTCTGGTGCTGTTTTCGTTAGAGACAAATAAGGAGTTGTATTTAATGTGAAGCCTGTTTTATGAGCAGAATCAATGTGGTGCATATTCAGAATAACTAATGTTTAGAAGTTTATTTTGTTTTGCTGTAATTGTTCTCAAGGCAGCTCTGGTGTAAGAGATAATACACTATGATGGGCATCAGAAGACTTCAGCTCAGATCCCAGTTCTGCCAGCTATGATCTGTGTGGCACCGACAGATGTCCTGTTCTCCCAGGGTCTCCCTTTTCCCATTTGAAAAATAAAAAGTAACAATTCCTGCCTTCACGTATTTTTTTAGCAGGTTTAATTGTAAAGGTGTTTATATCTGCTAAACTAATTTATTCGATATATGTTTGGTTATTTAAGATATACAAGTTATGCTAGCTATTTCATGTTTAAGCTGCTGTATTTTTAGTAGGCTATATTAAATATTTGAAAGGATTTCATTATAAAGAACAAAGTCTCCTAATCTTTGTATAGCATTGACATACTTTTTAAATACACAAGGCATGGAATACATTATTTTCCCTCAAAATCATAAGTTCCCAACTGGTTATTAATCTAAGAATTCAGAATTTTGAGTAATTGTTTTTGCATCAGATTGTTTACTTCAGTGCTCTCAATCGTGATGGTGCATTGGAACCATCTGAGTTAACATTTGTTTTTTATTACCAATACCTAGGCTCCAACCTAGTACAATGAAACAGGAATGTACAGAGTGGGCACTGAAACGAAGGAGAACAAGATCAAAGGACATTTTATTTTTATCTCTATCAGTGGGTCAAAGTCCTTTCAGAAGGAGCCTGTAGTGGACCTAGGTGATTGGTCACTTTATTCGTCAAAGAGGCGCACACTGAATTAGCATGGAGTGTTATAAAAGGCTTGGAGCGCAAGCTCATGTTGGTCTTAACAAGAAGAGAAGGCTTCAATGGATTCTCTTGTGGTCCTTGTGCTCTGTCTCTCCTGTTTGCTTCTCCTTTCACTCTGGAGACAGAGATCTGGGAGAGGAAAACTCCCTCCTGGCCCCACTCCTCTCCCAGTCATTGGAAATATCCTAAAGATAGGTATTAAGGACGTCAGCAAATCCTTAACCAATGTAAGTATGCTCCTTCAGTGGTTTGCAAAAGGTAAGTAAATTCACCTGTATTGTTTGAATAAAGTATATCCCTTGAGGTACGTTGTTACAAGAGATCATTGTAAAGTAAAATACTTTGAAAGGCTTTTGTTGCGTTTTCCAGTCTGTCAGTGTCAGAAATAGTGGAATGAAATCATGTATTTTGTGAGTACAGAAAGATTTGGGTCTTTGCATGTTAGATTCAAAATAACAAGTCAAGAGTTTGAAATGCTGTGTTTCTTCTTCATTTCATAGCCATTTGCTATAAATTTTGCTGAAGGTAAATGGTAAGGGACGTGTTTGTTGTTAGAGATTTTATTAAGTCCTCTACTATACTAGCCATGTGTTTTATTCAGAATAGCCATGAAAACTGAGCTTCTCTGAAGAATTAATTTATACCTGTTGTAAAGGAAATAGCTGTGGATTCAGGACCAGCAAAAGCAGATAAATGGTAGATAAGAAGTTACAGGCTTCCATTATTAGATCCACAAACTAATGTTTTAATTAAACTGTAGCTACAATATATAAACCCCGAAATGACCTTAGGCTTTAGTAATGGTAGGAAAGGGTCAGAAGATGTATAAGTATTAGGGTTTTTCTCGAGTGAAAGATGGTTTAACAGTGTTAATATGATATGTGAATACCCCTTGTTGTGTAATAATTAGCATATACAGGTAGTAAAGGACTGTGATTAGTGTATTAAACCTTATGAGCATGATGGTATGATTAGACCAAGAGAATGAGGCTATAGTTATGAAGACTACTCCTACTAGATTGATGGTAGGGGGCAGGGCATGGTTGGCAAGACTAGTTAGGAGTCATCACATGGCTATCAGGGAGAGAAGTGTTTGAAGGTCCCGTGTTAGTAGTATGGTTTGGCTGTGAACTCATTTGTAGTTTGAGTTTGAAAGACAGAATAATAGGGATGAGGTTAGTCTGTGGACAATTATTAGGACAGTTGCACTGCTGAAACTTCAGGAGGTTTGAATGAGAAAAGCTATGATAACAAGTGCCATGTGGCTTATGGAAGAGTAAGTAATGAGTGATTTTAGATCAGTTTGGCACAGAAAAATGGAGCTTGTTATGATTATAACTCATAAGGATAGTATGAGGGAGGAATAAGCTATAAGCTCTGTTGGGGGTGAGGGATTAAAATGATTCGTATAATCCTATAGCCACCTAATTTTAGGAGTACTGCTGTGAGGACTATTGACCTGGCAATGGGTGCCTCTATGTGGGCTTTTGGGAGTCCTAAGTGGAGTCCATAGAGAGATATTTTTAGTACAAATGCTATGATGTACGCTATTCATAAAAGGCTATTAAACCAGGAAATTGCTAGCTCTTGAAGCTGGGTATTGGTCTTAAGGTGGTCTCAAGAGTGCTGATAAATATATAAAGCATTAGCATTTGAATAAATGGAGTTTCAAATTTGGGTCTTCTGTATATTAGCTGTAGGACACTGAAAATGAATTTGTCATTCTCTGAGCTCGGTTTTTATTTATTTATTTATTTATTTATTTATTTATTTATTTTTGAGACAGATTCTTGCTCTGTAGCTCTGGCGGGAGTGCAGTGGTGTGATCTCAGCTCGCTGCAACCTCCATCTCCCGGGTTCCCGTTCAAGCAATTCTCCTGCCTCAGGCCCCCAAGTAGCTGGCATTACAGGCATGTGCCACCATACCCAGCTAATTTTTGTATTTTCAGTAGATAAGCGGTTTCACCACATTGGCCAGGCTGGTCTTGAACTCCTGACCTTATGATCCACCTGCCTCAGCCTCCCAAAGTGTTGAAATTACAGGTGTGAGCCACCACACATCGCTGTTTGTTTAAAATAGAGTAAATAGACCTGCTGAATATGTTGATGTGAGGATTAATTGTAATCTGTGCAGCAATTGTCTGACTATTGCCTTGAACATCACAGATCATCTGAGTGGCGAATATAATCATCATCATGTTTATATGTAAAATTCAGAAATATCTGAAGCCTGTGTGGCTGAATAAAAGCATACAAATAAAATGAAAATATCATTCTAAGTGAGGCTTAGTAAATGGACGAAATAGTTGCTGCATTTGCTATTATCTATATCTACTTTCCTAGCTCTCAAAAGTCTATGGCCCTGTGTTCACTCTGTATTTTGGCCTGGAACGCATGGTGGTGCTGCATGGATATGAAGCGGTGAAGGAAGCCCTGATCGACCTTGGAGAGGAGTTTTCTGGAAGAGGCCATTTCCCACTGTTTGAAAGAGCTAACAGAAGATTTGGTAGGTGTGCATGTGTCTGTTTCAGTGTCCATCTTGGGGATGGGGAGGATAAGAAAACAGAGACTTGCAGAGCTTCTCAGGCAGAGCTTGGCCCATCCACGTGGCTGCCCAGTGTTAGCTTCCTCTTTCTTGCCTGGGATCTCCCTCCTAGTTTCTGTTTCTCTTCTTGTTAGGAATCGTTTTCAGCAATGGAACAAGATGGAAGGAGATCCGGCGTTTCTCCCTCATGACGCTGCGGAATTTTGGCATGGGGAAGAGGAGCATTGAGGATCGTGTTCAAGAGGAAGCTCGCTGCCTTGTGGAGGAGTTGAGAAAAACCAAAGGTGGGTGAACCTGCTCTGTATCACTGACCTTACTGGACTACTATTTTCTCTACTGACATTCTTGGAAACATTTCAGGGGTGGCCATATCTTTCATTATGAGTCCTAGTTGTTAGCTCATGTGAAGTGGGAGTTTGAGGCTGAGAGCCAAGGGAATTTGCACATATTTGTGCTGTGTGTGTACAGACATGGTTGTGCATACACTGTGGGTATAAAAGGCTCATTTAATCCTGTGTTCTCCTGAATTTTGCTTCTTTGCTTTCAAATAAGAAATCATGAATATAGATTTTGAGTTCATTTTTTGAAAGAGTTAAAGAGCAGTTTTTCCCATTAGCTATTCCAGAACAAGTCACCAGAGAATGGACATGGTGGGAATGGCCCTATCACATGCCTAGGGAGCATGAACCAAATGGCATGTGCTTTTATTTAATTGGACTGTATTTGTATGGTCAGCCTCACTGACTTGTCTGGGGTTTCTTTTAGGCCCATGCTTGCTTAGGCATATCTTACAGCAGTTCTCATCAATTATTATTTCTCTGTAAACATGGTATTATTTAAAAAATAGTATTAATTATTTCTTGTTACTCTTGATTTATATATTTTCAGTAAATATGTGCTGTAGCATAATTCTGTGAAATATACAAATGTCAATTTACAAAACGATTTATTTAACTAGATTTTAATTATTAGTAGTAACTCTGTAATCTGTTTTCCCTAAGTATAATTTGGCTCTGTTTCAGTTATGCTTATCTTTTCCCACCCTATTTATGAAATTTTGGCTTAGAAATTTATGGTAATTATTTTTTCCACTGCCATCTCTACTCATCTATGAAGTTTTACAATGTATCTGTTTGTCAGCCTCAATACCAAATTACTTTGTTTTTAAATTCTATTTTCCAAATGAAGTGAAAGACTGAAAATCAGATTTATCTGTGAATGACACAACAAACTAACAGATTTCCAGCTGTTCGATGCCCAGCCATTCAGAGTACTATTGAATAAAGTCACTATTTAGGGCCCATAGATGTGAATTTGGGAGCTCTTTAAATATAAAGTTTAATATCTCAAAATAAGAGCTATTTATGACAAACCCACAGCCAAAATCATTTTGAATGGGCAAAAGTGGAAGCATTCCCTTTGAAAACCAGCACAAGACAAGGATGCCCTCTCTTACCACGCCTATTCAACATAGTATTGGAAGTTCTGAACAGAGCAATCAGGCAAGAGGGTATTCAAATGGGAATAGAAGAAGTCAAACTGTCTCTGTTTGCAGGTGACATGATTGTATATTTAGAAACCCCATCATATCAGCCCCAAAACTCTTTAAGCTGATAAGCAACTTCAGCAAAGTCTCAGGATACAAAATCAATGTGCAAAAATCACAAGCATTTCTACACACCAATAATAGACAAGCAGAGAGCCAAATCATGAGTGAACTCCCATTCACAATTGCTACAAAGAGAATGAAATGCCTAGGAATACAATTTACAAGGGATGTGAAGGACCTCTTCAAGGAGAACTACAAACCACGGCTCAAGGAAATAAAGAGATGATGCAAATGGAAAAAAATTCTATGCTCACGAATAGGAAGAATTAATATTGTGAAAATGACCATACTGCCCAAAGTAATTCATAGATTCAATGATATACCTATCAAGTTATCATAGACTTTCTTCACAGAACTAGAAAAGACTTTTAATTTAATATGAAGCCAAAAAAGAGCCTGTATAGCTAAGACAATTGTAAGCAAAAAGAACAAAGCTGGAGGCATCATTCTACCTGACTTCAAACAATACTACAAGGCTACAGGAACCAAAACAGCATAGTACTGATACCAAAACAGATATGTAGTCCAATGGAACAGAACAGAGGCCTCATAAATACTACCACACATCCACAATCATCTGATCTTTGACAAACCTGACAAAAACAAGCAATGGGGAAAAGATTCCCTATTTAATAAATGGTGTTGGTAAAACTGGCTAGCCATATGCAGAAAACAGAAGCTGGACCCCTTCCTTACACCTTATACAAAAATTAACTCAAGATGGATTAAAAACTTAAGCATAAAACCTAAAACCATAAAAACCCCAGAAGAAAACCTAGGAAATACCTTTCAGGACATAGGCAGGGGCAAAGAGTTTGTGACTAAAACACCGAAAGCAATGGCAGAAAAAGCCAAAATTGACAAATGGCATCTGATTAAACTAAAGAGCTTCTGCATAGCAAAAGAAACTATCATCAGAGTGAACAGGTAACCTACAGAATGGGAGAAATTATTTGCAATCTATCCATCTGACAAAGGGCTAATATCCAGCATCCACAAGGAACTTAAACAAACTTACAAGAAAAAAAGAAATATCCCCATCAAAAAGTGGACAAGGGATATGAACAGATAGTTATCAAAAGAAGACATTTATGGAGCCAACAAATGTACGAAAAAAAGCTTATCATCACTGGTCGTTACAGAATGCAAATCAAAACTACAATGAGATACCATCTTATGCAGTTAGAATGGTGATCCTTAGTAAGTCAGGAAACAACAGATGTTGGTGATAATGTTGAGAAACAAACCCTTTTACACTGTTGGTAGGAATGTAAATTAGTTCAATCATTGTGGAAGACAGTGTGGTGATTCCTCAAGGATCTAGAACTAGAAATTCCATTTGACTCAGAATTCCCATTACTGGGTATATGCCCAAGGGATTATAAACCTTTCTACTCTAATGACACATGCACATGTATGTTTATTGTGGCACCGTTCACAATAGTAAAGACTTGGAACTAATCCAAATGCCCATCAATGATGGACTGGATAAAGAAAACGTGGCACATATACACCATGGAATACTATGTGGCCATAAAAAAGGATGAGTTCATGTCTTTTGCAGGGACATGGATGAAGCTGGAAATCATCATCTTCAGCAAACTAACACAGGAACAGAAAACCAAACACCACAAGTTCACACTCATAAATGGGAGCTGAACAATGAGAACACATGGACACAGGGAGGGGTACATCACACACTGGGGCCTGTCAGGGGATGGGAGGCCAGAAAGGGAGAGCATTAGGACAAATACCTAATGCATGAGATGCTTAAAACCTCGATGACAGGTTCATAGGTGCAGCAAACCACCATGGCACATGTATACCTATGTAACAAACCTGCACGTTCTGCACATGTGTCCTAGAACTTAAAGCAAAACAAAAGAAAATTTAAAAAATATAAACTTTATCAATCACTTGATTATAACAACTTTATTTCAGAGATCCTCCACCAAACAAGAAAACCTTACCTATAATTTAATTTATTTAGCTATTAAATGATAGGCTGGGCCCAATCAATATCAAATTAAATAAGTTAAATTTGCGGGATGACTACAGATGGTGGGCATTTAGTTCCTACATAAGAAAATTCATTTTTAAAAAGCTACAGAAGAAAAAAACTCCATTTATCAATTTACACTTTCTTATTTGCCTTACCTGGGATTTACATTTAAAATAAAAAGTTTTTGGCCAGGCACTGTGGCTCATGGCTGTAATCCCACTGGGAGACCAAAGTGGGCAGACCACCTGAGGTTGGCATTTCGAGACCAGCCTGACCAACATGGAGGAACCC